AATTTTTTTAATTTTCCCCCCGTTACCCGAAAGGCCCTTAAAAAGAAAAAAAAAAAAAAAAAAAAAAAAAACAACAGGTTATAGACATGCTTATGTGTGTATAAAAAAGATAAAATGGTTTTCTACTTGGCAATAAAGTGACTCTGATGACAGATGCCTCTGTGGCGAAATACAGTCAGATTAGATTTACCATAAAGCCCTTTTAAATCCCTGGGTAGGGTGGCGGTTTGTTGGGTCACAAGCTACAGTTCTCTTCCTCACTGAACAAATCGCGACATTAACCTCACCATGTGAACTTACATTTAAGCCTTAGAAGTTGTTTTTTTTTTTGTTGATACAATGTGTTTTGGTAGACTAGACAGTGTGTTATTTGTTTTTACATACTCCACTTTCAACAAGGGAGTCATAAAAAAATAATAGAAGCCCTTTAAAAAGTTCAAAATGTCTGGAATTACAAAGTTCAGACAGAATTTACTGAAAGAACAGGTGAGATTTTATTTTTAGGTCAAAAACATGATGTGCTTGACACGCACACATTAAGTTTCACCGTAAATATCTGTAGAAAATCTGTTTTGCCAGCCAATAAAAGGACGACACTTCATTTTTAGTGCCACGACGTGAATTCAAAGCAGTAGGGAGCCTCTCCCGACAGGTTATTATTTATGATTGGGTCTGGCTTCCAGCTGCCACACTCAATCATTTTCCCAGGAATAAACTCAAGCTTCAAACCTGAAAGTAAAAGCTTAGTTTAATCTCCAGACAGAATGCAGCTCTTGTCTGGTAGACCTGGCTTGTAAAGAGAAAATAAAATGGAGATAAACAAGGCCAGCAGGTGTTTCAGGGTGCTTTCGTGCCTAACCACATGTTCAGAGGTGACATTGGGCTTTTCTTCTGACGAATGCAGCAACAGACGCAACATGCACTCCCTTCATCAGTGCCGTAACTCAGTTTTTTCATAAAAACTTTCAATATTCTGTCTTTTTAAGCGCTCGGTTTCAAATTGCCAAAACTAGGTCAAGCCTAATTAGTATGTTTGCTGCAGTAGTTTATAACCCATCATGTTTCCAGTAAATAAATTGTGATATTTCCCCAGGTTTTTGGACAGATGATGCAGATATTTATTCTTTTTTTTTCTACGAGCTAAATCATGAACATAACATGAACTCGCTCCAGCTCCCTTCAGCGGCCAGCTTTTTAACATTCACAGATGCACTGACCTCCTGAGGACATGTGATCCTCTTTGGTCTTGGAGCTTCCTGCTGGAGCTGGTACACTGTCAGATAAAACACGCATGTTAATGAAGTTTGTCTGGCCTTCTGAGCCACAAACAGCTCCATGCAGGACATAATTGCGTGCGAGCAGCAGATGTGACAACCAAAATAAACACAGTTAAAACAAAGTTCAGAGGAAACAAACCAAGTTTGTTTTGTGGTATTTATAGACAGAGCTATATTGAACAATTGGAAAACAATGTTTCTCAATTAATGGCTTTAAAATAACTGCTCTAAGGAAAATATGTTTTATTAGAGTAAAAACTATTTGCTTATCTACTTCCACTTGTAAGAATGTGATAAAGGTCTTTTGACATATGCATGGTTTTTTTTTTTTTTGCAGCAGCATTTCCACATTTCAAAATGTTTACAAATCCAATCTTGAATTTCAGTGAATTTTTATGTTGTTTTTAGCAAAGTACTAGCTGAGCTACTACTGGCACCATTAATATTTAATGTAATATTGTTTAGTAATGTTTCATTAATGAGGATATACATGAATCAAATATGCAGACCACTAGGTTAGACAAGGATTAATATTCATCTCACCACCAAACACACGGAAGGTGGATGATAACGGAGTGAAAAAAAAAAACCCTCCAGAGCTCACTGTTAGAGATCTACAGCAAAGAGTGGCATTTTGAGGTCAATAAGTCTCCATAACAACTACGAGATGCTATCTAAATGTCAACCAGGTGTTTGGGAGACAAGCCAGAAAAAGGCCGTTTCTGTCCCACTATTACAAACATCAAACCTAAGAGCCAGCTAAATGCTAGTGGGACTTTTACTGGATCTGTGTGCTTTGGTTAGGGGAGACAAGACTGTGTTCACAGGTCTTAAAACTTAATTGAAAATGTTTTGGTAAACTCTGTTTTTTGAACGGTTGTTCCCATGAGACTCCAGTATGAACAGTCAATGACCTCAGAGCCACAAAATTATGAAAAGCTTCATCAGTTGATACAAACATACTTGCATACTATTAAGTATGTAATGCTGTGGGCTTTTTTTCTCTTCTGAATGCTGTAGTAACCTTGTTGGTGCATTACATAATGAACTCATGGCTTATAAAGCCCAATGGTGAATAAAAGTCTGATGTAATATACCCACAAACTGATCCACCTGTGGCCAAACCAACAAAGATATGGTTGACAAGACATAAAATGAAATCATTTTTATGACCACCTCACTCTTGGGACCTAAATACTATGGATGATCTAGACCAATGAGCAAACAGAAAGGTCAAAGGACCCATCCTTTTTTCATGTACGAACTGCAAACCAGTTCTAGTTAAACAGAAATTTAGGAGATAGTGGAAAAAGGTTTTCTACTGTCTTCAGAAAAAAAAATGATTGTCATACTGCCAAAGTGGATTGTACAAATTAACATCCGGGGGTGAGTTTGTTAAAAAAATTAATTTTTCTTGACATGTTTTTTTTCCTTTTTTTTTTTCTGCTGTTTAAATATTTTTGAAACAAATGGTCAGTCCGTGTTTTCTGAATTGCTAAGCATTAGATTATAATGCTGCAATAAAATATGAATTCATTTTAAGGCATTTAACACAGAATGGAGTGTGCTATGGATCAGGGTGAAGAGTGTGTAAATTACAGGACATGAGTGATCAGGGTGAAAAAAAAATCTAAATGCATTACGTCAATTAAGGCTGAATTTATAGTTGAACACGTTTAAACAATCTTTCATTTTCAAAGCAGAGACATTTGACTTGTGAATGTAGAAAACCATATAATATGCATTAGATGCAGTGCACTTAAAATACTCAGGTTATGCTCAAATCAGGAATGCCAAAAAGAAATACGGCACCAACTCAGTGCCGTTTTCAGCAAACCACAAGTCAAAAATCTGTTTGGAATAGAAATGAAACAATCAGTTACAAACTGTGAACTTCTGCTCACTGCTTGCAAACTGTATCGTTTTCACAGAGTTTTCTATACGCGCGATACGCTATTTTCATGAAAAAACAACCAGTACTACCTAAGAAATCACAGTGTGTGGCTCAGCTCAGCCCTCACTGCAGCAGATTCTCTTGGCGGGGGGAAGGAAGGCTCCTGACTGTGAACTTTCATGTTCTGTCAAGCTGATTTAAGCCAACCTGTAAGATCTGGACACCATCCACTGCTGTGACACTGACACCTCTAAAAATACCTCAGGAGAGAACCAGAAGAATCTGATAGCAGGCTTTATAAAAGGAGAAAAAAATCAAATAAACAGAAATATATCAGCTGCAAAGACTTGAACAAACTAGTTCTAGTTAAACTGAAATTTGGGACATAAGGGTAGAAGGTTTTCCACTCTATTGCATATCAAACTTGCTCTGGGGAGTTAAATTGTCTCCCACATGAAAAAAGCAACACATTGTGTACTAAAATGGGTCCTCTGACAACTCTATTTTAGCTTAGCCTTTCAGCAGGTGGAAAATCTTGTTTTCCTGACTGCTGGTAACCTATTTTACACAGAAAACAGGAATCTGCTGCTTTGCATTTGTGTATGTGGGCGAGTGTGTCTGACTGTGCACCTTTTGTGCAGAAGAAAGAGCAGTTTCTAATTTTACCGAGAAAAACAAGACCTGAGTCTTTACAGCACAGGAAGTCAGTGTAATACGTTTCTCCCCAAAATTATGTAAATGTCAGGTTCAAAGCTTTTGCAGAAAATTAATAAATACTCACAGTAAGACTTCCATATGGGTGGCTGATAGTCATCAGGATCTGGAAAATATAAAAAACAAACCAGGGTTTCGTCATGAATATATTAGTAGTGTTTATAATACTTTTCATTAAATATCTCAATCTCCCTCTTCTCCCAAGCGTATTAAATATGAGCCATTTATTATGATTATATGCCACTGGTGTTTCTCTCTGTCATAATTATGCATCAGGTTTCACGCCGTGCATCTGCCTGTTGTTGGGACGCGCCGCCTCTGATCAACGCTACAAACACAATCAATATGCGGCGCACGCCTGTGTGCCTTTATGCACACCTGATCTGTATTAAACAGTGGCAGGAACCTGAAAACGCAACATCTCCGCTGCGATAAAAGCGCAAACACAGCAATCAAAGCAGGGGGAGAGGTAATTACAGCGAGACCGTCTCCTGGGAAAATGCAGTGAGTTATGCTTGTGTGAACACTTACGGATTACATGATGGAGTGCGCTTTTTGCATTAGATTAAAGAAGGGAGGAGATGGAGTAAATGCCCCGGGGCAAGTTGCAGTTTAACGTCATGTCTTAATGACTCTTGCCGCTCTAACAATACATCACCCTCTACTAGCGGCAAATGCTGTAGTGTGTCATCTTACATTGACTGCTACGGTGCTGGAGACAGGATTTTAATCGCGTAACAGCACATTTCTCAGCATGAAGTGGGATGTAGAAGAATTGTTACTTCCATTCGTGATTTCCAGTTTGCTTAAGGAGAGTCTGACTTTCCTGTTTTCAAAGTGGTCAGGAAAACGACTTCTCTTCTGGGTTTCAGAAGATCTTCCAGCAGTTTTATTTGGACTTTGTCTCTCTTTTATCTGCAAAGAAGAGTGGGCCGAAATTCCTCCACAGTGAGGTAAAAGACTCATTCACAGTTACCTGGTTATCTCAAATGCTTAACAGGAACTGTTTCCACCCAGGCTGGCACATGAAGTTATTAGGAGTTGGAGCTGGCTGGTTTGTGTAGCTTTTATCTTTTAATGAATAAAATCATTATTTGAAATCTGCTTTCTTCTGGGGGGTTGCTCAGGATAACTTTTTCCTGATATTTAAATGTGTTTGATGATCTGAAACATTACGATGTCACCAAAAAGAACAAACAAACAAAACAGAAGTCCTATAAGAGGGCAATTTCTTTTTACATGTAACTGAATAAACAAAAGTCTAAGAAAACATATATTTAAAAAGAGCGTAAGATAGAAATAGAAATCAAGATCACTTTGTTTTTCATTTCATCATAGTATCAGTAGGTGGCATCGATGTAAATATTACAAAATGAAATTTCAAAACCTGAAGCTCATGACCATGGAAATAATCTATGGCTACCACTTCAAGGCCATTCAGCCCACAGCTTCTTCCCACATCTGGCTCACTTTGTCCTGAGCCAGATGTGGGAGAAAAACAAAACAAACAAGCCCTTATGGTAGCACAGAAAGTAAAAGTTGGTATGTCTAAAGTGTAATTTGTGTTCTAACTAATAGGGTGACCTTATGTTTTATGCTTTAATAAGGAGTTTTTGGTAACACTTTATTTGAAGGGGGGTGAATAAGACTGACATGACACTGTCATAAACAGGACATAACCCCTGTCATGAACATGAATAAGCCTTCATGAATATTTATGACTTGTTATAAAGCGTCATTCGGTAAATTATGACACTTTTAATACAAAGTTGACATTATTCAAAATGTCTTTGTTATGACAACTTGACATGAACCAATAAATCATTACTGTTTAAACTTTACCTTTAATAACATAAAGTTACCTAATTTTTAAAGTGCAATCAGTAATACTTTTATAACAAATTTATATCAGTAATGATTTCTTGGTTAATGTCAAGTTGTCATAACAAAGACATTTTGAATAATGTCAACTTTGTATTAAAAGTATCATAATTTACCGAATGACGCTGTATGACAACAGTCATAAATATTCATGAAGGCTTATTCATGTTCATGACAGGTGTTATGTCATGTTTATGAAAGTGTCATGACAGTCTTATTCAACCCCCTTCAAATAAAGTGTTACCGAGTTTTTTAATCAAAAGTTAAAAATGTAAACTGCAAGAATAATTAAAGTCAGCAGAGTGTTTACCTGCTTTACAAAACGAAAGTTTACAATCTTATGGTCAGATGGGATGTTTTAGTTCTGTGTGGGTTTATTGTAGGATTCTCTGGTTGGGTTTCTATTGAAAAAAAAAAAACAACCAGGGCTCTGCTGTTAAGCAAATGTGCTTTACTTTGACTCCAAACAATCACACACACACACAAAAAAAAACCTCTCAGGTGCTCAGTTGGCCTATTTCTATTTGCAAATATCAAGGAGAAGTGGCAAATGGACGCATGGTCAGAATGGAACATCCTGGGGTAAGTGGCATCATTTCCTGCCTCGACCTCATCTACTGATCATGAACCGGGGTGCCCAAGTCCATTCTTCGAGAGCTGCCATCCTGAAACCATTAAATGCCATGAAATGCCTCATCAGCATATTTTAACTCTTCAGAGACCTGCTAACAAGCTGCTTATTAGATTCAGGTGTGTAGGAGTGAAGATGCATCTATTGGTTGCAGTGCAATAGATCTAGAGGACTGGACTTTGGCACCTGCGGTATTAAAAATTAACATTACCACAATTTAATATCACATTTACATTGTATGGGAGAATGCTTCAAATACAAAAATGTCTTTCTGAGGTGCTTTTGTTTGTCTGCTCTGGGATGTGGGAGAAATTTGTTGACACAACCAAATGTAGAAAGGAAGATCTTCTCTCGCTGGAGATAAAACGCTCAATCTGCATACTGAGTCCCACTGTGGAAAGACTGCAACACGTTACAGCTGCAAAGTCGCCACCAGAACTGATGGAGCCATCAGAGAAGATTGTTTCATATTCAGTCTGATGTACTGCAGCTTGTTGCTAAGGCTTCCCAGGAGTGTTTCTATGCTTTAGGAACGATCTGCAAAATCACTCAGGAAAACCATCGGAAGCAAGTTAAACAGAAAAAAAAAAAGAAAAAAAAGATGTTACGAGGGATCAGGAGAAACATTGTCGCTGTGTTTCACAGGTGTATATATGAACAAAGAGCTCAACAAAGCACTGAGGTACTTATCATAATCACTGAAAAAGAACAGCAGTCTGTAAAAATCAGCACCAGTTAGTTTTTATTATTATGATATTCTGACTGGGTTTATGTTAATTTTACAAGAAAATTTCGGATATTTTTCCACTTTGACATCGCTTCTTCGCACCAATAGTTCATAGCTATTTCTAAAACCTAGTCATCACAGTAATGGAACTTAATCAGTAAAAGCAATAGATGTAGAGCAGTACCACCTGACAAGGCAATGAAGAATAAGTATACGCCATTTACATGGGGACCTCTTTACCAAAATGCAGGTTTTTGTGAGTTTTTGTAATCTTCCTTTAGCCCTTTTTGGTCCTATGACATTTCCTGTGTTTTTATTTTTGCGGCTTTGTTTATCCAAATGGTATGAAGAAAAGATCGGAGTGTAGTTTTTGGGAGAATTTTGCATTTTTCAGGATTCCGTGTCTCTTCTGCAATTTTGTCCCACTGACGCCCATTTGAAGTGCAGTTTTTGATTTCTGCTTTCATTATTTGGTTTTTCATTCACCAGTGAGACGACATCTATTTAAAATGGGTTTTTGTATTAAAACAATAAACAAAATTAATAAATAAATAAACTTTGACAACTTCTTAAAGACATTCTATGACACTAGAAGTGGAGAATGTGATTCGCTGAATTTCAAGGCAAGAATTAGAATGAGGAACATTTGCACATGGCAGTGTTGCTGGTGCCAGACGGGTTAGTTTGTGTAATTCAGAAATTGCTCATCTACAGTGATTTTCATGCACAAGTATCTCTGGGGGTTACAGAGAATGATCCAGTAGAGTCAAATATCCAGTGAATGCCTTGTTGATTATCAACAAAAACTGCTCATTACAACCGAGTTATGCTGAATATTATCTCTGAATGCACAATGTTAAAGCAGATGGGCTACAATAAAAACTGGGTCCAACTCCTGGCAGCAAAAAAACAAAACAGGAAACAGTGAATACAAATCACTCATTTGCAAAAACATTCTCTGGTCCAATGAGTCTTAATCTGAAGTATTCAGATGGTAGATGAGAATGTGGTGAAAACAGCAGGGACACACATGAATCCCACTGCCTGCCTGGGTATTCCCTCTGACCACGACCATACCCTTATGCTACTTCCGAAAGGATTACCATTTCAGAGTAAATAATCTTAAACAATTTCAGATGATCTAAGTGCAACACAGCATCTTCAGGATGTGTGGAAACGAGAAATTCACATTATGACCAACAAAGGAAAACATCTGCAGCAGCTGTGTGATGCTATCGTGTAAAAACGGACCAAGATTTTAGAGGAACGTTTCAGACATCTTGCTGAAGCTGTGCCATGATTAAAGAAGTGTTGAGCTATTTGCAAGGTCTACCTAATTAGGTTGCCGGTGAGGACACTAAAACGGTGAATGTTCAGCCAAAGTCCAAATAAAGACATAGAGAAACCGTCAGATCTGCTGATCAAGTACATTTTAATTAAATCAAATAAAACAGGGTGGTCAGAAACATAAAAATGAAAGGGGTGACTTTAAGCTTTCATACTAGGCTGAGGAAACTCACACTTGGCTCTATAGCTACGTGCGGCTTTGTCAGAGTGAATGCAAAAATGCATCCTGGCAGAGAACTTCTGAGCTTCTGAAATGTCTGCTGTGGTTTGAAGCTGTGTAGATGACATGAAATGACAACTGGAAAAAAAAAAACAAGAGGAGACAATATAAACCAGCATCTGCCTTTGGATACCAAAAACATACAAATTCAAGGTACAGTACTACATTTTTCTCTTCCTATTTTATTGATGGAACACACTGCACTGTGGGTAAAGACTTCCGTTTTTATTTTTTACATTTTCTTACTTAAAGCCGTATACCCTTCAGGTGATTAAATCCTTGGTTCGTTTTTGATATAAT